TTGCACACCGTGCCCCTCAGGTATCAGCGGCCTCGGCCTCTAACTTGCCACTTTCAGGCTGACTTGCAGTGATTCTTCAACACTTTCACTTTCCAATAACAGCACATAGAGTTGATGGTGGAATATCAAGGAGGGAAGAAATGTCACAAACTGACTTGTTGCAATAGTGGGATCCTAAAATAGCACCAAAGTCAGATTCAGTGTTTTCTTTAGAATGACCCATTCTTTCACAAATCTTTGTAAATGCGGACTGCATTGCAAGGCGTTCGATTTTATACGCCTGTTGCAATGGGACTGGAAACACTTGGGTTCAAAGATTAAGAGGTGTGGCCCAAATACTTTTGTTCATATAGTTTATATGATGGATGCTATTTTTGACATCCTTCTTGAGATATTTCATGTAAGTGATTCCTTCAATGCGCTCTTCATATATGAAATTCATAAGAAACCGAAAGATGTGCTCACAAGCCAAAAACATGTCGATGGCACTGAATCATAAAACTTTAAGCCAGAATATATTGCCTCAGGTCTACCTCTAGGGCTACAGACAGCCCACCAGTACTACTAATAGAATGGTTAACACAGTATGTACAGTATGTTGCTCAAGAGGTGATAGAGACAGAGCCACAATAACTTCTGGTGATCTTAATTAGTATACTGGGTTGACTTCTCTGGACTGTGGACGATTGGGCAGGTGTAAAGTGATGAGAGAAAAAGAGGATGAAAAAAAATAGGACATCATTTAAGACTCTTCCTCTCACAAAAAGTAATCTGTACTGAAATATCATCAATTCTCTGCTTGTCTCTGTCATCCAGTACTGCACTGTGTATTTATATTTATATATTTATATTAAGTGTTTAGTTAAATTATTGTATAGTATTTATAATGAGTTTCTAATCTAGTTATACTATGTATAATGACAAAAAAGGGTTTCAATGCTTCAATCAGTGGAAACAAAGCTCGCTGAACAATATCTGCTGACTGTATGCTTTTCTGTCTTTGTGTGTGCAACCCTTCATGAGAGTGTGTGTGCCCAGTGTGCAAACCCCTATACAACCTTAAGCAAAGCTCCATCCACAGCATTATAAATACACTGAATCATCATACCTATTCACTCTCCACTGATTTTAATTATCTGAACTGAAGCGATGCAAGAGGCTACACACATCCAGTATAAGGGGCTTGGACAACTTTTAATCGCACTCTTTCTCTAATCTGCTATATACATGCTTATCCTCAACTCCTAACAAAGTGCGGCTTTTACCCGGAGGAAGGACAGGTCACGGTGATCCTCCATGTGTGTGATCTCCAGGTTCTCCAAGA